CTGGGCCAAATTTGATGAATTTTTTTTAATTGAATTTTATGAATCTATAGAATTCAAAAAAAAAAAGTTTATTAAATTTGGCTTGGTAATTACTGAGATATCTTTGTTCAAATTTTAAAAAAAAGTTAAATCTGCAGGGGGTATGAATAATAAATTGGGGGGGTATAAAAACTAGCCCCCTTAATAAAATATATATAGTAAATTTGGCTTATTGATTAAAAAGCATTGTACTGTATATGATAGTATAATTATATATATATTGTATTTCAAATTAAATTTATATTAGTTAAAATTAAATATTAGAGTCTATATAAATATATAGTATCTATTTTGAAATCTAAATCTAGTTATTATAGGAGGTTATCTAGGTAGTAATATTTATGAATAGAGTTTTTACTATTGTTATTTATTGTTTTAAAATTTATCTTTAAAAATATATTTTTTAGACTCTATAATTTATAATTATTATATTTGATTTAATTAATTTATTTAAATATAAATAATTAATTATTTTTTTTATATTTTAAAAATTCAATATTATTTTTTAAAATAAGTTCTAATAAAGAAAATATTAATAACTAAATTTTAAATTAAAATATATAAATTATTCATTCAGTTAAGCCTCTCTAATCATTAAAATTTTTTATTATAAAAAATCTATATATTTTTAATAAATATAATATAATAATATATAATAGAAATATTATATTTATAATACTGTGTTATTATAATACCCTATATGTCTTACTTAGGGTTAGGGTTTAGTTTTAAGATGAATAGAGATTTTTTATTATATAATAAATATTAGACATAAGGTCCTAATAGGTCCTAATTTCAGTTTTCATAAGATTTTCAAAAGCACTAATCATTTTTACTTAGAATCCTACACCCATTTACTTAGTACATTTTTGAGATATTGCAAAAGGTGTTATATAACACAGTGTTATGAATATAACTTTCCTATATCATATTATATATAAGTATATAGAAATAAAAATATTTATTATATTAAAATTTTAATTATCTTTATTTATCTTTTTATTCTTACTTTTTTATTAATTTTATCTTTTTTTAGTTTCGTCACAGTTTCACTAGTTTTAACAGTTTCACCACCTTTCACTATTTTGCTACTTTAATTTTTTTTTGACAAAAGTTGAAACTAGGTTTCACCTTTCATCTGTGACGAAATCTCTAAGTTTCACCTGCCAACACTAACACTGATATAGTTGTACTACTGGGTGTTCTCTGAGAAGCATGACAAAGGATTTGGACGAGTATTATTTTTTTTTTTGCTCTTCTACTTTTACTTTTTTTGAGTTTTTATTATGTTATATATTTCTTTTCATTATTTGTGGGAAACTTTCGACCCCAATATTTTCAGAATTGCAAATAATTAAGATCCAAATGATTAAGATTCTATTTTGTCTTTTTTTTTATTCTAACCTTTGTTTCTACCAATTGCTTCTTACCACATTTTTTTATATTTTTTTGGACTAGCTTTTCTGCTTCAAGAAACCACCTTTTGAAACCTTCACACCTTTTCTTACCCAATTAGATTATTCGATATGGCTTCTAGGGGCTCCGAGTTAATTTCTCGAAGTTTATTTTTCTGAAATACCATTTCACTAAAGTCATAATATTAACAATCCATTTTACTAACAGGACATAAATAAATATTTTAGTACAATTTAATCAGTATCACCTAACCCTGTAAATAACACAAAGGAATCTGCTACAGCAATATATTCTAAGATCAAACTAAGTTCCTGCATCTCAAATATAGAGAAAGCATAATACCTAATTATTTAGTTGTTAGATTCATAACATATGAGCTTAGACAGATTTAATACTATCAAAGTTTTCAACATTCGTGATATATAGTTTATGAAAGTCTTATATTTGATGCAACAAGGTGTTGAGATTTATTAATTTTACAATATGACATAATGAAAAGTCAGTATAAAAAATATATTTTTCGTATAATAAAAATATATTCAAGCGTCATACTGTTTGTGCTTCACTTTTTATTTAAACATACCTATTAAAATGACAAAACCAAGAAAGAACCATATTAACAAAGATCATTTGAACAATACTACAATTAAATCTAAAACCTGAGATCATGTTAAATATAAATGTATATTGCATTGTGATGGTAGTTGTTGGGTAGATCCAAGAACACAAGCTAAACATCAAAGGGAATTAGAAGAGTTATCTATTGCCTTAAAAAAATATAAAAAAATGATTTAAGATAAATCTGTTGAAAGTTTACTAAAAGGATCAAGGTGTAGAAGTAAATTGGTTGAACTAAATTTCTCTAGTAATTTTTATAACAATAACTCTTTCGAAGATGATACAGTAGTTGATCTAAGTGAAATAGAATCGGAGGAATCAGAACTAGATAAGGTTTTGACAGATAATAGCTAAGAGTCAAGAGATTCTGATTATGATGATCTTTACAATCTTGAAGATCATGAACTTCTTGGTTTGGATGTTGAATTAAACGATTCTTGGATATTGTTATAGATTTTTAAGTACCAAGCAAGATTTCGTCTTCTAGTTGTTGCAATTAAATCTCTTATTAAATTATTTTGGATAGTCTTATTAGATGCAGATCAGTCAAGATTCAAGAACTTTTCTACTAGCTTACATATGGCAAGAAAAATTTTGGAAATTAAAAAGCATGAAAAAATATATAGTGTTTGTCCTAGTTGTAATACCTTATATAAAGTTTCAGATATAATAACAAATAAGCAAGATAAGGCTTTAAATGCATCTACGTAGAGTTTTCTGATCATCCAATGCATAGCCAAAAACAACCGTGTGGTGCTGAATTGACCAAACAGATCCTGGCTGTAGATAGATATATCAAAAAACCAAAGGTGGTTTTTCTTTTATTATCTTTGAAAACACAATTAACCACTATATACCAACGTTCAGGATTCGAATTTCTTTTAAAAAAATAGACAAAGTAAAATATTAATACCCGTTTAATATCTGACATTTGTGATAGTAAAATTTGGAAAGATTTTCCATCACAACTTGATATACCAAATTCTCCCCAATTTTTTACACCAGAAATAGCAGATTCTTATCTAGGAATCATGATTAATCTTGATTGGTTTTAGCCATTTGACATAGTGTCATATAGCAGTGGTATAATATATAGTATAATATGCAATCTTCCTTGAGAAGAGAGATTCAAATGTGAAATATATTATATCTTGGGCTTCTACCAGGATCCACAGAAGTCAAGTTAAATAAAATAAACAATTATCTTGCACTAATAGTAGATGAATTGCTAGAATTCTGAGAAGGGATTGAATTACCTACTGGAAAAAAAATAAGGTTAGCAGTCATTTGCTGCTCTTGTGATATTCTGGTCGCTAGAAAGCTTTGTGATCATATATCAGCATTAGTTAGTTGTCATCGATACTACAAGAGGTATGATTAAGTAATTCATATAATTTATAAAATTTTGCACTATCACTGATAAAAATCAAAATTTTCGACATGTCAAATTGTACTATTCGATATATCAAATTTTTTTTAATTTTTACAGTATATATAAGTGGCATCATAATTTATCGGACTCAATTTCAGAAAATTCTGAATAATTAAGTCCAGTAAATTATAAATTCAAAAATCCGAAATTTGATTTTCTCTTGGCATAACTCATTTATAGGAAAACTTTTATATAATTGGCTGTTTAAAATTTATTGAATTTTATATTATACAGTTTAAAATACTTTAAAAATAAAACTACAAAAAATAAATAAAAAAAAAGTATATTATAATTTTTATTATAGATGTACCGTATAGTACTGCATATAGTATCTCCCAGAGTAGTATCCCCACAAGTGATCTGTGGCCCAATTTTATAATTAAAAGCACGAATATTTTATTTGGTTTGATACGCCTAATAGCAAGGTATACATTGACCAGTGATGATTATTTGTATTATCCTCTCATCTCTCAATATTTGGGGTATTATTCAATCTAGGCTGGCTTTTTTGAATCGTATCTGAGGTAATATATGCAGCACTATATGGTAGAACTTCACTATTAAAATTAATCAAATCCTTTTTTTAGAGAAGTTAGCATAATAACAACTTTTAATTCATTTATTATACAACAACTTATAGTGATTCTGCACTAGTATTACAAATCAAAAGTTGAAAAAATCGATTAGTTGGTTAGTTAACAACTAATCGATTGAACTTTTTAGACACCAACTAATCGATTAGTTGCAAATGAATCGATTGAAAATTATTTACTTAATGAATTAGTTGCAACTAATCGATTAATCGATTAATCAATTAGTTGCAACTCATCGATTAATCAATTAGTTGCAGCTTGTCATTTAATCGATTAGTTGCAACCAACTAGAAAAATAATTAACCAACTAATTGATTGAAAAAATTTTTTCTGATTTATAACACTAAATTTTGTACCTACTATATTTTTATATTTTTTAAATATTCTAAGG